TGCGGATGGAAATGAGCTCAAAGCTAAATCTGGGACTGTTACACTTAATACATTTGAATGTTTTAAGTGTTCATTACTGTGCATTGTCCCTGTCAAATAAACAATAAAATAAATAAAATAAAACATATTGGTGTAGTGTTTGGCATAGCTAACTTAGTTTTTAGAAGCAAGAGTTAGTTTGGTGCTTGTGGGTTATCTGTCGCCACTTTTAAATTGCGGGTAGCTGGCTCCTCCACATGAACTTATTCATTTCTCAAAATAACAAACATGAACCCTAGGGGTTAGGGTTCTTTAGAGAGTCTGAAAAAAACAAAAAAAGTGGCAACAGATAACCCACAAGTAATGTTGGTTTAAATCATTATAGTGCAAAATCACAAAGAATGTAGAAGAAGCCCTACCTGTATTGGGCGTAGATATTCTCATCACAGAAATAGATGTCATGCTTCTTCTCACAGGGGAACTGCTGGTAGGGTAGAGACGAGAAGGCCGCCGGTTTCTTCACAAACACCACCTGAGAATCACAAGACAGTAGGAGATTAGAAATACTGAATACCTCATGCTACACACACTTTTGAGGGAAAGTGGAGGGGTAATAAAGCTGCATTGCCCTGGGACAAATATCTTATGTAATGTATCCTATGGAATGATGTGAATGCTGTCACCATATGAAAACCAACAAGTTATATATGAACACTTAAAGCTTTGCTAAGTTAAGCAGTTAAAACATTGCTATTACAGCAACAACCAGCTGTAATTGAATATTTCACAATATCTTTATTCCAGTTGCTTACAGCTACAGACTCTTTGAAAGGGAGTGGTGGGTATCGAGGCCCTTATTTGTATGACACTGTCAGGTGACGGAAATCTAGAAAGCTAGCTTTAAGCCACATGTATCTGAGACTGAATGGGATACCTGTCGACACACAAGCAAATTACCTTTAAAGAAGGTCCAGCATTTAGCTAAATAAACAGCAGCAGAATAGCAACCTAGCCACCACCGGTGAGCCATTTAACCTGCAATGGTTTGTTTGAGAGGTGACAGCTGACATTTTTCTACCAGCTAAAGCACTGACAGTTCACTGAATCACACATGAACTGTTACATTACATCAACACGATAAGCCCATTTGGACTAGCACTGTGACATATAACCTAACTCAACGTAACTCAATGTATGAACCACTAGCTAACCTGCTAGCATTAGCCATGTTAGCTAACTCAACGTATCTCAAGGTAAGAACCACTAGCTAACCTGCTAGCGTTAGCCACCTTAGCTAAACTACTGACAGCGAGGGCATACTATGTTAGTATGGGCAGTTGGTAGACACCGCTTGTCGCTACATCATATACCAGAAATGTGTTTGAATCCAGCTAAGAAGTTATCATAGACGTATTGATTATTTTTTATACAGTAAAACTAGCAATAGAATGCGGCCTAGTTAGCACCCTCATCCCCGGGACACAGTGATGGAGGAATCCGCACCTTGTCGAGCTCCTCCCGGCAGACGGCGCAGTACTTCTGTTCGCACAGCACCCTCATTTTGGTGGAGCAGCGGTAACACACCGGGTGATCGCATTTCCCCAAGGCAAAGATATCCACCTCTTGGCAGCACAGGACGCAGTGCTTCTCGGTTTCCTTAGTGTTTGATGGAGCCATGGTTGTGAAAAGGCACGATTTAACTTTAGCACTATTTGTTATTAGGGGACAGACAGCCGATGTTGCGCAGTTACGTAATGAAGAAAGCCTGAGCTACTGCCGCGTCACGTAAATGGTGTACTTTAGATCTGTAAGCATGTGGATGGGGGCCCTACCTTCAGGTGCGGTGCTGATAAGACCCATCCATTTGTGCAGGAGATCTTGACTTTTCCACGTGTCTCCCATGGTGTGCCGGGCACTTTGTGAAAACTGATAGGACACCGGTCTGAGCTGACGTTGATATGAATGAAGTAGCCTACTAAACTTTGAGAGTTTTAACATGTGCCTTAAAGTCATTGACAATAAACACATGCAGGTACATATTAGGATATTTGTTGAGAATGTGTCAAGATCAGGGGGAAGAGAACCCCTAATCTACTTTAATAATTGATCAAATGCAAATGAACATTAGGCTATATATAAAGATCTTGTCTGATGCTGAGCCTTGGTCTTTTCTGTCTTTCATTTTTGTAAGATTTCAAATCTATTTATTGTTCTAATTGTTGGTCACTTGACCAAAAGACTTTCAAGCTTTAAAAGGTCCCCAATATATTATACTGTTTTTCATCAATATATTATAGGCCTCAGATATATACAAAACATGTAATGTCTGTGAAGTGTTTTGCTCCAAATACCAAACAGATAATTGCAGC